TTAAATTATTTAAATGTATAACTTTCAAAAATGTAAATATGGTTACAAACCAAGATCTTTCTCACATGTTTATAACATTTAAGAAGTGGAAACCAACTAGTGTTCAACGATAAAAGAACTGTTAAATAAATTAAATAGAAAAGGAAATGGAGTATTATACAGCCATTGATAGAATTTTTCTGAGAAACATGATCCATGTATTGTAAAATAGACAAAGCCCCTGTATGCATAGAAAATGAATAAAAATAAATACTTCAAAATGTTACCATTAGTTATTTCTTTTGTTATTTTTAAGCCCATGGTATCCACTATTTTTCAATCAGAAAAAAGATGACCTATTTTCAGTTAAAATAACCTGTCTCATAGATAAGTGTGGAATTTCATACTAGAGACTCTTGACAGTTGTCCGCGTCCATATCAGTTACACGAGTGGCAAGCTGCTTTGCAGGCATTGTCCAAAGCTAAAATTACCAAGAAAGCAAACAATAAGTAAAACAAGGCAATGAATTACACAAATCCCGGAAATTACAAATTCTTCTGCAGCCAGTCATGACTCTTACTTGGCTGGGGTCTCAGTCCTTGTTGACTTGCTTTCACGGCACAGTCCTCTGGAGGGACTGACTAGTTTCTTTTGCCCCATTGTGTTTACTTGCTTTGCAGGATGCTGAGGCTGTTGTTGAATTGCATTAATGTTTTTCCACTTCCAGAAAATTTTGCTAACCAGTTAGGCGTTTGAAAGGACTCTGATATGAATGCCATAACCCTATTGCTTTCCACCAAGGAGACTGTTGAAACAGATGATATGAAAGCAGTAAGATCCATAGGATAAAATTGTAGCTGAGCCCCCTTGTAATTTTATTACCCCAGTATTTTGACAGCTAGAATTAAATAATTTAGTTGAATTTAGTCCTTTGTTCACATGTTAACTGCTATTCTTGCTCAACTCCTTCTGTCCTCACTATAATTTTGTGTTTTTAATGTACTGTTTCTTTGTCAAGCAGGAGATAACTTCAGGGTCTTGAGAATTTATGAGTTTGTTTTGCTGAAGGAGAGAATGTCTCCAAGGTAGCTGCCACCAGGTGCTGGTGCCCAGGAGTCTGATGCGGAAAAGTGTCATCTGTGACCAAAGAAACAGGCTTTTCAGTTCCCTGGAACTTACCCTCCCCTTCCTTCTCTTTAAAACTCTTCTGCTTGGTCCGGAACTCCGGAGATGGTCTTTGGACATTATTAGTCCACCATCATCCTGGGCTGCCGGATTCCTGAATAAAGCAACCTTTCCTTTCACCCAATACTTGTCTCTTGAGTATTGGCTTTTGTCTGGCAATCAGCCGAACTTGGGTTTTTCTTTGTTTTTTTTTTCAGTAACAAAGTGATAAAGTGAGAGCTGCTCACCATCTCAAAGAGGGCCCCAGGCTAATCCTTGTGATTTCTTTGTGAAAATTGGCAACAGTAGGATGCTTGTGCGTCGTGGGCCTTGTGCACCCTAATAAACACCATGTGCCCGAGGGCAGAGAGAAATTTTTTTGGTTTTTGTTGCATTAGATGTTTTCCACTGTCAATGTATTTGGCCACTACAGTTTTGGCAGAAGATAAGATAATGGTGTATCTCTCAAGATTTGGAGTGAAGTGAAAAAATTAATAACATTGAATAGCAAAGGCTTGAAATACTTTCAGTAGTTTCAGTTCTCTGGTCTTCCTGGATAACACTTAAAAAAAAAAGCCAAATATAAATATCAGTCATTAATCATTATGCTTTTTCCTCGCAGGTGTAACATCTAGAGTAGCAAGAAGAGTCTCAAAAATGTTTTTCTTTTCAAATTTACAAATAGCTAACAAATTGGAATGCATACAAGTAATAAGAGGGATAATCCCATCAATAGTAACCTTTTCAGCCTTTCCTTGATTTTATCTCGAGCTAACACCTAATCTGAGCAAATGGATCCCTGTATTTCCTTGTATGTTTATGTTGTCCTGTTATCGCAGTCAGTAAATATGCAGTGGAAATACTTTGGTAAGAGCAGAACGTGGTGGAACAGATTCCAGACATAAAGGGAGAATGATAACCCCTGATTATGAAGAGCAAATGCCAGAGGCAGAAAACAATATGAGGAAATTTAGGCAGTGGACAGTCCTCTCTGTAATGTCCTTGGGCTCTGTAAAATCAGTGTTGAGTTTGGCTAGATAAATAGGGATTCACTACTAATGGACTCAGAGAAGGATGGAGGAATGTTAATTTCTTCACTTCTCCAAGAGGTCATTAAAATTGTTTGCCTTTCCCTCTCTATGGTCAGCGCCGGTTTCTTTGGCACCCTGTCAGCACTGTTAATTTCAATATTTTGGTGATTTTTATTTGCCATCATTCTTATCAACAATTTTCCACGTGCCCGTGTGTGTGTGTGTGTGTGTGTGTGTGTGTGTGTGTGTGTGTGTGTGTGTGTTGTGTGTGTGTGTAAATCGCTGACTTGCTGACCTGCGATTTGCTCCTGCGAGGTCCGGGAAAGTCAGGACTCGCACAGACGGAGCACTTGGCCGCCACCTGCTGGTGGCCGGCATCACAGCAGCCATGCTGTCAGGTTTAAATTAGTTTCAGCCAATGATGCCTGTTTCAATCATTTAGCAGAGGAATGATGATAACATGTATATCTTGCGATAGTAAAATTTGATACAATAAAATTGATAGGTATATAGTGCACTAGAGATATATCATGGACTCATTATTGAAATTGTATTTGTATGGAGAGAGTTTTAAAAATTACCTTTGAGAATACCATCAGTGCTTCACAGAAATATATTATCTTCTGGAGCTATATCAATTCAGTGGAGAGTAAAGTCCAATTACTAGTGGTATGTGCTTGGAAGGATTTATGTATAATCACTTGGAAGAGAGGCCTTTCAAATCACATAATGGCTGCTTTTTTGATCTGTAGCAGTGTGTGTGTGTGTGTGTGTGTGTGTGTGTGTGTGTGTGTGTGTGTACACCCATGCGGTGGTATTCACTGCTCTGTTTGTTCTGCTTACTGTCTGCGTGTATATAGACTCTGTCTGGTTTGAAGTCTTTGAAACCAGTTCACTTTGTAGATGTAATTTTCCAGACAGATGGAAATCATAAATAACTTAGAACTATGAGAAAGCTTGCTTTCTACATTTTAGTCCATCAGTCCAGTGTATGCACATTGTCTTTATGTATAGTTTCTGATGTGGAAGAAATTTTCCTAGGTCCTTAGGGTCCTGGAGAAAGCATCTTTATTTCTCCAACTATAAAGCTACAAGCTCTGTTCACTGTTCTAGGGATTAAGATACCCTCCTAGTTTATGTTCTTACTAATACTCTCTTGACAACAGCAACAGGAACATCCATAAAAAGCTCAGTGTTTATTTAAAACAAGAGGTGCTGTTCTATTAAATTTTTAAATAAACTTTCTTATTGAAATTTCCAGTCATTCACCAAAATGTAAGCTCCCATATATCTGTTACCCTACCTCAATATTACCAACATTTATAATTCACTTTAAATAAGTATGTCCTAATTCAGATAAAAGGATAACTTTTCTGAATCCAGGTACTTTAATGACAGGGTAGAAAAAAAGAAATAAATGCTACGTCATGGCTAGTGACTGTATTTTGAATCATTGCACACATTGGAGAGCCAAATTCTCATAATAAGAGATTCTCATAAGAAAGGGAAGTAAATTTCTAAGAATATGAGTAATTCTTGGCCATAAAACAAATAGTATGGCTGTTAACATTATTTTTCATCCCCAAAGTAAAATCTTATGATGTATGAAAATGTATTCTGCAACAGGTTATTTTTACTTAACCTATGACCTGTAAATTTGAGTAAGATTTTTATAAGTATCTTGCTATGAGCTGTGGGTGTGTGGTTTATATTTTCTAGCTCCCTTTCTGATGCCCACTCTGCAGCACTCTCCCTTTAACATGTTCTCAGTTTGATAGTTAATATTTGCAACATTAGGACTTTCCTAACTTAATAGGACAAACTGGGTAAAATTTATTCGATAAAGGAAAGAAATGTCTGATGATAATTACATCAGACAGCAGGATTAGTTTTTGAAATATGTGTCCTGGTATATTATAAAGATCATTCCAACAACTCTCCATCTTCCAGTCTTCCTGATTTGAATCTCTCAAAGCAGGTCTGCTAAGCTTAGAGTCGTGTTAAAAACTTGGTCTCCATAACCAATTAGTTCAAAACTAATATTTCTGATTGTATTTTTTTCATTGTATTATTGCACGTTTTAAATACTACGTAAGGCTCTTTCGTGACTATGTCCAACCTTAGAAACAAAATTTTCCTTTTTTCTTCTATTTCACTGCTCCCAGTAAAGGACCCAAAATCTGATTTGATTTTTTATTATAATGTATATTTGATAATAAAAATGATTTCCTCTTTGTTCTCAAAAAAGGCTCATGAGAAAATTCCCTATTTTTTTCTTTTTCCCATGAATGTGATATAGCTTCTGGGACCTTCCCCATGAAGATTTTAAAGTTTATACTAAAGTGCAATTTTTCTAAATTCTGACTTTGCATGCATGGTGAGGAGGCTTTTCTTATGTAGTTTTATCTCATGACCCAGGTATTGGGGCCGGGCCCCTTCAATTTTGTGACACAGGTGTCCTCTAGGACTTTGCTATCATCGGCTTTCAGGCAACAAAAATAGAACTAGCTTGTGGAGGGGACCACCTACACCTTGAAAGCAATGTCTCAGGAATGGCAGATGTTACTTCCATTCAAATTCCATTTGCTACACCTAACTGCAAGGAAAGGTGAGGAATGTAGCATTATTGGGAGCCCAGGAAGAAGAAAAGTCAGAGTTTTGGTGAACAGGTGACAGACTGCTGTACTTGAATCCTGGGCCTCTGTATATTACAAAGAAAGCTTTCAACCCTGTGCACCTCAGCAGAGGTGACAGAAGTGAAAGGCCTGAGTCTGAATCTTACTGAGGCCCATGGGGATACAGACTGTTTGGTTTCTGGTTTCCAGATCATGCCTGGCAGTGATGCTGATGTGACTGTTGAGACCTTGGTGTCTGCAGAGGAGGGGAGCCCAGTGGAGGAAGCAGAGACTGAGAAGGCAGCTCTTCCTACTGTAGAAGAAGTAGGTTTAGAGGGGCCCAAGATCGATACTGCAGCCACAGAGGTCGTAGACGGTGACAGATCTCAACCAGAAGGAACAGAAGCAGCAGCACGTCAGGTGAGTGTCCTGGTGAAGTGGAGGTTCTAGGGAGAGGCGCCCGTTGGAGGCTATTGGGTAACGGCAGTAACTCTTCTGGACACAGAAGAGGTTTGTAGCCATTTTGTGGCATCCTGCTCCACCAAGAAACAAAAAAAAGAGAGAAATTAGATTCTCAGAAAGAGTGGTGGCTGCATTCTCTCAATGTCAGCATTGTGGGGCCCCCCACACAAGCCCCCGGTGCTACAGCAGACTGGCTTATGCACAAGTGGAAGAAAAATAAACTATGCATAAAGTAGTGATGGAGCAAAGAAATGAGACACAGACAATGAAAAGGATGAAAATAGAGGGAGGCGAAAGGGAATGTGATAGAATAATAGGGTGTTGTGTGGACTAAGTGAGAAAATAGCCATACACTGCTTAGCCCCGCGCTAGCTAGACACGTGCTAGAAATGCGATTATTAGTAGTTATATTACCATGCTTCCTCTTTTGTGGTTATTATTATTAGAGTGCCCCCATTCACCCCAACTTAGGCTCCTTTCACCAAAGCCCATCCCTGTTTTCCTTCAAAGGGAAAATGGGTCATTAAATGCACACATGAAGTTGGACTTTGCTCAGTCTTCACATCTTCCCAGAAGCATTCGTTCCAAAGCAATACATCCATCCGTTCCATGACCGTGGGAACCTCGAACTCAGCTGCTAACGGAAGGACAGCTCTTCTAAACCCCGTGTTTGGTTCTGTCCTAGACGGAAACAGTGAACAGGGGGCATAATGTTCTGCTTCCCATTGTTCTGATTATTTTACTCATAATCAATTTCCAGAAATTTATCCAGGGGTACTTAAAGTTTGAAAATGAATTATCCCTTTCATCCCATTAGAAAAACACAGGTTGTATTGTTGTATTGGTATTTGGAGAAAAAAAATACATTCTATTTTTTGTGACATTTTCTTGTCACGGTGCCAGGAGTGCTTTTGGATATATTGCTAAACTTACTGAAAGAGTTTATTAATTTCTCCAAATTGAAGAGTGCAAGTGCTTATGTCCACTGTTCTCTGAGGGAATATAGAACTTGATCTGAAAAACAATAAACATCTCTGGACTCCCCATTATAGAATTGAAACTCCCCTCCTTGTTCATCTTTGTTAAAATATAAAGGGGAGCTCTAGATCCTTTGGTTCTGCTTTCCCAGACAAGAGAGTACTTGGAGTGCTTGGTGGGAATTCTGGTTCTTAAACTGTGACCGTAGTGTGGCTCCAGTGATAATCAGCAATGACAGGGAGACTGTCACCAAACAAACATGAGCCCCACCTTTACCAACAATATACTCTCATACTCTTCCCGTGGGACTCTGACAGAAAAGCAATCACAGGAGGTTAAATGTCAGCTTCAAGTGAGTGTTAACATTCAGTGGGACAAGGATGGAGCACTGCAAAAAGGAGGCCATCCTTGGAATACTAAATCATTCCCTTTCGGGACCCCCTCCTCCACACTCCACGACTCGCCCTGCCTCCCTGCAGTCTTCTGTCTCGCTTCCCACTTTACCCAGAAGCCTCACTGTTACCAAACTGGATGATTGTTCAAGGATCCAGAAATTAACTCCACTAAGATTGTCTGTCTCAGGAGAGATAGGAAACAATTCCTACAAGGCAGAAAACCCAAGGGCCGGCTAGCCTGAGCCGGGCTTGGGGAATGGCAGGCATTTAGTTGAATGAGGGAGGTGGGGAAAGTGGGAGCCAAGGAGGGTGTGATTGGGAGGATGCAGACGTCTTGTCTCCCACATGTGTCCAGCACCACCACACTTTTCTTCCTCCAGGAGAAGGCCATCCCTTCTGTCGTCATAGAGCCCGCCTCCAACAACGAAGGTGAGGGAGAACACGAAACAGCCGCAGGTGCAGAGTCCAAGGAGGCAACCAAAGACGCCGCTCTTCCGGGCCCCACCAGTGAGACGGCAGAGCCAGCCACTGAGCAGAAGACCACCGAGCAGACCACCGAGGACCCCCAGCCGGCGCCCTCTGCTCCGTCCACAAGTGAGGCCTCTCTGGAAGTGCCTCCCGGCTTTCTCTACAAGGTCTTAACATTTTTAATTTTTAAAATCTGGTGGCCATTTGTCTTTCCTTTGCTTGGAGGCCCTTTTTTTTTGAACCTTTGGTTTTCCGATTTTCATTTTTACTTTTTGCATTACAGACTCTTTCTCTGTACTGCTTTCCTCTCCATCTCAGCATCACGTTATAACATGGTAGGATTCCCATGCTACCAGACAAGCAAGAACTACAGTGATGCCTTTCCATACTTTAGCAAAGGATAACTAAACAATATGCCCCTTGGTAGTGAGTGGGTTCATGGCTTCCACCAGGATTTTCTCCAGCGCTTTCCACAGAGCCGTGTGGGGGTCTCCAGCCTCATCTGCTCCTTGCTGGATTATACACCTCCGGAGGGCAGGAAGTACAAATCATCCCTCAACCCGACACCTTGTTACAGTGTGGGGCAGAGTAGGGAGCCAATACATACTTTAAAGTAAGTGAATAAATATGTTTAACGGGCTTGTATAAAAAGGAAGAAAAAAAGGCCCAAATTCCTGGGCAAAAGGTTTTGCTCAGAGAGGCCATCAGTGGCTACTTAGAGACTTCATAAACCAAAGGGTCCTTACAGAAACACCAGTAAACACCTAAAAACACAGGTTTACACCAAGTGTTAAAGGCAACTAATCCCCCCTAACAGAATACTGTTGGGAATTTTAAGTTCCATAATTTGATTTTACATTTCAAAATTCAGCTCTTTTCCTTTTAAAAAGTGTTAAGTTTTCTTTTGTTTGTGTGTGTGTGTGGGGGGGGGGGGGGGTGGGTAGGATGAAACGGAATAGTAATAGTCATTATTTTTTTCTTTCTCTCTACTCATTAAAAAGTAACCACTACGTCGCTACCTCACTGGGGGATAGCATGGGTATAATGGACATGTGAAAGAATTACCGTATTTGCCGGCATATAAGACGATTTTTTGGCGCTGAAAAATATGCCTCCAAGTGGGGGGTCGTCTTATACGCCAGGTACACTTCAGATAGACTGCCCATAGTGCTTGCCCCATGCCATAGTGGCCTCCCGATGCCCGCCCACTTCATTCCACATACCGTTCAGGCATCAGCAGCGCTGCTGGGTGTATGCTCGGCTGTTATGCGATTTTGCTGTTATGCGATTTTACCACACTCGCAAAATCTACGGTACCAGTCTATAGAATGTGTTTTCTTTAGTGAATTACCGGTATGTTTACCGGTAATAAACTTGCACTGTTTTATGTATATGTTTGATTACATACAGCCTTGTGACAGTTTTCCTGCATGTCATAAGCATTTGAATATAAATTAAAATGTTGAAATCAAATCTGATATTGTTTTACCTTTTATTTGGTGTGTGGAAGGTGTGCGGAAGAGGGGGTAGTCTTATACGGCGAGTATATAACAAACTCTGTATTTTGAGTGGAAATGTTAGGGGGTCGTCTTATACGCCTAGTCGTCTTATACGCCGGCAAATACGGTATGTGGAGAAAAAGATTAAACATGTGGCCAGTGTGGGCATGTGTCCTGCTGCGTTTTGTTGTCATTAGAGTACAAGAGATGGGGGACACAGTGTGCCACTCAAGACCAGGCCTGACCGGGCCCCCACCCCGACTCCCCTCACTGGCTGCAGTGACCTCACTCTCCGGGCTTCAGTTTTCTCATCAGGAAAATGAATTTTGGGAGGAGGTGATCGTTTCCAGCTCTGACATTTTATGATTCTACATGCAAGAAACACATTTTAAAAGCTGATTGTTTAATCTCACAGGTGGGGTTGGAGGGATGTACATGGGGAAATAAACTTGGGTGTGAGTATAGATAGTTATTCAAGCTACGTGATGGGGTTCATTTTACTATTCTTTCTGCTTTTTAAAAAATTCTCTATAATCAAATTTTAAAATCTTTCAAGGGAAATAAAAGAAACATGAGCATGTTTAAAAGGTAGGATAGGGAAAGAAGGAAGTTTATTTACAAAGAGACTGAACACAGGGTTTAATTAAATAGTGATTCCATTATAACATGCAAGTGATGGTTTTTCCAATTATTTATTATTCCACAGAAGCTGCCATTAGAGGAATGTCCCACTAGGCATTTTTAGTTCAGGTTAGAAAACAATAAGAAAGCATCTGTGATACTACAATGCAAATCTCTGACAAAAATGTGATGAATTAAAATCTAATTAATGTACAATATCTCAGCTCTAGCAGAAGATATTGCATTCCTAAATATACATTCGAAGGGCCCCAGAATCCGCTGTTTGAAGTCAACAGAACAGGATTTCCTTTTAGTCTTCAGAGGGGTGATGCATATCTTCATCCTTTCCTCCAGCTGGAGATGCTCCTAAGAGTGCCTGCTGATCCGGCTGCCTGGGAGACTTCGATATTACCTCTGTTTTCTTTTTTCCTGAAGGTGGAAGCACTTCACGATTTTGAGGCAGCAAATGCTGATGAACTTACCTTACAAAGGGGTGATGTGGTGTTGGTGGTTCCCTCGGATTCGGAAGCAGACCAGGTAAAGGCTGAGGTTGGAATGTGGTGCAGGCTGCATTTGCTTTGTGCTGAGGATCAGTTGGACACAGTGACTTCCTGGAGACGTTTTCATTTTCTGAGATGCTGGAGGGCAGCTCTGAAAAGGGATTAAGGGCTTCTGACCACAGCACATCACAAATTGTAGGTTTTTATAGGATACCTCTTTTGAGATGCTATTATATATATATATATTTTTAATACAAATAGATGACCATTTCTTATTATGTACCTGCTCTCTAGTGATGTGGTCTCTGAAACACCAGCCTTCAGGAAATGCAGACACTATCCATGTGCACTAAAAATTCCCCCTCAAAATAATTGCCTCTGGGAGTTTGGAGACTGACCAGGAAAGAACATGAGGGAAGGTCTGGGGGTTGCAAATGTTTTATATCTTGATAGGGGTGTGGGTTTCACATATGTATGGCTTTGTCAAAACTCACTGCAAACTACACTTAACAGTCTTTGTATTGCACAGTATTTAAATTATACCTCAATTTTTAAAGACTCTTAAAAAGAAATCACCTCTGGAAAAAAAAATCACCTCTGAGCTCAGAACTGCATTTTGCTCTTGTTCATAAGAATATGACCCCCTGATATGTCATGCAAAATGTGTAAATGTACGTATTAACATGTTTTGTTTTTTTTTGGAGAAAAGAGCAATAATTTAATAACACTCTCAAAGAGATTCATGAAACCTTCCCCCAAATAGTAAAGTCACTACTTTTGAGGTGAAGGCTTAGATGTCACATGTTTTATTCTCTCTCTTACCAAGATAGATCAAGTGCTGAACAAACAAAGGAGTCTCTACCACAATAAAATTAAATTAGAAATAATAATAATACCATATCTGTAAAAGCTCCAAATATTTAAAAATTTAAAAAATACATTTCTAAATAATCCATGGGTCAAAGAAAGGACAGTGTGAGTTAAAAAATATTTCATCATGATCATAAATTTCTACGTTTTCAAGAAGATAAAAAGAGATCAAATTAAATCCAAAGTACATGGAAGGAAGTAATAAAAATGAATTAAACAGTGGATACAATAAAAAGACACACAATAGAAAAAATTAATAAAACCAAATGTTAGTTCTTTGAAGAGATGAATAAAATTGTTTAAAAAAACAAAACCCTTGAACTACTCAAGTAAAAAATTCCAAAGCATAAATTACCAATGTCAGGCAAAAGTGTCTGGTTATCTCAAACACCCTTTCTAAACTTATAAAATATATAAAATATTTTATAAACCTACAAAACATATTATGAAATATGAACTAACATTTTTTTACATGAGTCATAAGTTATGTTTTGAAGAAATTAAGAGGAAAACGCCTTTACCAATTCTTATAGTGCTGATCTGCTGGCAATAACTCCTCTCAGCTTTCGTTTATCTGAAAATTTTATTCATCTTCATTTTTAAATATATTTTCCCAAGAGAAAGAATTCTGAGCTGACTTTTTCCTTCCCCTTCTTTAAAAATGTTGTTCCACTGTTTTCCAGTCTCCACTGTTTATATGACAACTAATTTCTGATATAAACACACTGTACACTGTGATTTTTTTCCCTGACTGATTCTAAGAATTTCTCTGTATCTTTGGTTGTCATCATTTCAGTTATAATGTGCTTAGGTCTTGTTTTTTTCAGGTTTCATGCTTGAGGTTTGCCAAGCTCCTTAGACTCATATTTGATGTTTTTTACTGCATTTGAATGACTTCCGGCTATTATTTCTTAATTATTTTTCTCTTTCTCCTCTTTTTCCTCTGTCTCCAATTATAGATTCATTGGACTCTTTGATATCTAAGACTGTTCTCTTTTGTTCAGTATTTCTTTCTTTCT